AAAAAAAAAAAAAAAAAAAGACCCAAAGGGATAAAAGCCTGGCCTTTCCTTTTGGAAAATTCTGGTGGTCAAAGTGGGGCAGATGTGGGAGGGATTTTCTCCTGAACTTTCTCCTTTAGGTGATGTGAGAAGATGGGTAATGACTGTTTGGAAGGGGCACCTGGGTGGCTCAGTCATTAAGCTTCTGCCTTCGGCTCAGGTCATGATCCCGGGGTCCTGGCATCGAGCCCCGCATTGGGCTCCCTGCTCAGCAGGAAGCCTGCTTCTCCCTCTCCCACTCCCCCTGCTTGTGTTCCCTCTCTTGCTGTATCTCTCTCTGTCAAATAAATAAAATCTTTTAAAAAATAAATAAATAAACCCAGATCTTTAAAAAAAAATGACTGGTTGGGAGATAGAAGTGGAGATGAAAGTACAGGTGAATGAAGCAGAGGAACAAAGGTAGGGCAGAGAGAGTTGACTGAGGTTTCTGAGCTAACTGGAATGGGACGGTGTTTGGGAAGAATGGATGAAGTAGGGCTCCTATACACGAGGATGGAGGTCTTTGGAGGCACCTGTCACCCTGGAGCCAAACAAGGGTTCAGTTAGGCCTGATTCTGTCCTGGAGGCAATACCCCCCAGCATGGGGGGTTTTAGTGTAAACCTAGTCTGCTAAGCTCTAGATTCCTACCCTGATTCCTTTGGGCTCCTCTTGTAAAGCCCTCTCCAACTCAGCCCCATCTCTCTTGCACCACCTGTAAGTCTCACATCCTGACCTCCTCTATCACCCCCCATCACATGCCTTCCCTGAAGCCTCCCCTGATGCCAAGGACTGTTGAGTAGGTAGATTCCTGCTCCATGCTCAGACAGAGGGGAGTCGCAGGAGTGGACTGAATCAACTGTGGGCAGAGCTGGCTTATGCAGGGCCTCATAGACAATGAAAAGGGGCTTTAACATCGGAATCGGTTCTAAATTTAGAAAAAAGGGGGGGGGGGATAAAGCAGAGGGAATGAGAGCAGAAGTCAGTGAGGCCATGGCACTGCCCACACAAGTCATGGGGTGGTGGCTTGGGGTAAGGTCCTAGAGGTGGTGGTGGAGGACTGATTGAGAGAGGGTTTCACCCTCTCTGAGGACTCCTCCTTCCCTCGGGATTCTGTCCATGCATATTCTTGCTCTTCTTCACCAGGATGAACAGGGTTTCCTCACACACCACATACTCATTCCATGCTTCCAGAACGTCTTCTGGGATTATCGACTTCACAGTGCATACCTCTTCTCAAAGAACAAGGTACAGCAGAGGCCAGAGGAACCCTCATCAGGACCCTAGTTTCTGCAGCTCCAGGTCACCTCAGGGACTTGAATATAGACCCCAACATGGACTCCCCACCTTCTGGAACAGGTTCCCCTCAGATAGACCAGGACCCCAGAGAGGGAGAAGAAAAAGCACTTAATCTGTCTTGAAGGCCAAGATGGTAGTTAGCAGAGATGGCAGGAACGTGGAGGCCAGAACGAACCTGGGGATGGTGGTGAACTGGCTCAAGGGGGGTGGGGGCGGGGTGGGACACTTCACCCCCTCACATGCCCATGGGGCCAGAATAGGAGGGGCAGGCAGGAGGTAGAAATGCCAGCCCAGGAGAACAGAGGAAGGCTGTGCATTCCGGAAGATTTCAGGTCACCACCAGAGCTCCTGGAACCTGCACACAATGGAAAACTGCACAGCCAGCCCTGGGAAATGAGTGTCTGTAAGTAGAAAGATTGAGTCCCCTGTGGTGGCCATGGGCCCCCGCCCATCCATCCCTGGGGATCAGCTTCTGGAGGCTCCGCCCCAACCAAGCGGGGCTGGCTCTGGCCAGAAGAAAGGAAAGAGCTTAGTACAAACATAAATACCTTTAATGAAAGCCAAGAGCACTCTGCAGAGCCCTGGTAGGAGGCAGGGGTGCTGCTACTCCACCAGACTGGCTAGGCTAGAGGCCCCAGGAGGCAGGCGAGCGCCAGAGCAGCCGCCAGCAGCGGGGGTGTCGGGGTGGGGGTGGGTGCAGATGCTCTTGCCTGCAGCGTCTCCTGGTTGGTCTCAGGGCCTGTGCCATGCTCCCTAATACGCACAGGGGTGCCGCACAGAGCATGCAAGTTATCCGGGTGTGCGGCCCGGCGAGCTTCTTGCTGTAGTGACTCCCACACAGCGGTGGCCTCCTCTGGGCAGTGCAACAGGACTCGGGAGGCACAGATGTGGAAGTCATTCCAAGACCTGTTAAAGGCTTGGAGTTAGGATAATTTGGTGGGGCAAAGAGGTTTTTATAATGGGAAGGGAAAGGTTCAGGCCCCAGGGTGGTGGGGGGTCCCACAGTTAGGTGGCTGTCTTCACACCTGCTCTTACCTGCAGACAGTCTCCAGCTCGCCTCCAAGACCCATGCCGTCCCCCAAGCGGATGAGACACTCCGCGAAGCCCTGGTATATGGTGTCACAGCCCCCTCGGCCCGTTGCAGCTGCTGCCAGGGGAGATGCAAGGACTAGGGGTGGGGGTGGAGAGTGTTTGATAGGACGAGCCGCCCCGCCCCCCTTCATGGCCAAGCCCCTGGGGGCTTGTTTACCTTGATATGCTTGGGGGACGTGACTCAGCGTGAAACAGAGGCACCCACGGGAACCAACGGGCATGTCTGGGGATCCACCTGCACTGGCTCCCCTCTGGGCACAACCCGGACAGGATATGTGGAGAGCGGGGGGAAGGAGGTGTCTTGTCCCAAGGGGTTGGCTCTTTCTCTGAGCTTCTAGGGTGACAGGTCAGGTGAGGATGGTCCAAGTGAAGGAGTCAGGACACAGAGAAGAGGGGCAGGGTCCAGGGCTATGGGCTCCCTTAACTGTCCTGCAGGCTGGACAAGCTTACTTGGCCATCCCACCCCATCCCCAAAGACAGGTGTTCTCAGCCAGGTAGAGCAGGATAGGTGGGGCCAGACCAGGTCAGACCCTAAGAGAGGGCCTCGGGGGTCCCACGGCTGGTCTAGGGGGTTTCACAAGAGCCTAGGTCTCCCTTCACCAGAATGGGCAATGTGGAATTTTGGGGTCCTTTCCCCTTGACTAGGTGTCAGTTCATGCCCATTTTGCATCCTGAAGCCACTGGCACGTATTATCCGCTCCCTGAAGCCCTCGCACCTCCTCTCCAGCCTGGTTCCCAGGGTTCAGGAAGGCTGGGCCTCAGCTCTCACACGCCCTATACCTAGACCGGGAAGAGGGTGTGCCGCCCAGCCGCTAAGCTGGGTCCAGCACTCCCGCACTCACCAAGTGGTAGCAATAGCAGCAACAGCCCCAGCACACCGGAAGGTCGGGGCAGTCTCTGGCGGTGCTGACAGGAGCAATAGCTGTGCATCATCCCCGCATCATCCCCGGCTGGGAGCCTAGTACTGGAGCTAGCAGCTTGGAAGCAGCTTGGAAGCTCAGCCCTTCGGCCCAGCCCCCGGAAGAAGGGATTGTGATTGGATGGGAGCCGGGGGCGGGGCCCAAGGCCAGCTGGCGGCCCCGCCCCAGTACCCAGACCGGGAAGGAGGGGAGGGACCCCAGAGAGAAGAGCTGGGGACACAGGCAACTGCAGAGCTGACCCCAGGGCCCTTGTCTCAGAGATGGAGAGGGGATCTGGGAAGGCAGCTGTGCAGATGAGGGTGGGTGTCCAGGCACCCGGGTTAGCCTAGGCAGAGCTCCACAAAGGGAAGAGAGAGGGGAGAGAGAACAAAGGTCCTTATCAAAGGTACACCAAAAACACACACATACTCCATTTTATTCCAAAAGCATTTAATTGAATTTCTCAATGTTTTTCAAAAACAAAAAGATCCAAATCGGAGGTAAAAAGGAACATGGAAAATTCAACTCAAGTGGTGTCATGATCTCAGGGGTCATGCTCCAGGCATGGCAGAACCCAAGAAGGCACAATACCCACCCTGGGCCCAGCCTAAACCTGCTGGTTACCACAGCCTATAGACCACAGCCAGTGCTCTCCCCTCAAACACCCCCGAGGTGGGAGCCTGAGCAGGTAAAAGAGTAGACATGACCCTGCTTTTGCCCTAGGCCTGTCTACTGGCCTTCAGTGCCTCCCCACCCCTGGGCAAGGCAGGCTTAGCTAAGGGAGGCTAGGGGTTACAAGGCCGTGCAGCATGAGACTGAGACGCCGGGCCACTTTGCCAAGTGAGTTGTGTGGCTCAGCCTGCAGGAACTGGAAGAGCTTCTGGCGCACCTGGGCCATGACGGAGCCCATGTGGTCCCGAGTGATGGGGTCACTGTGGTCCAGGTGCATCACAGCCTCTTCCAGGTAGCTGTGGTGGAAGAAAGGGACAGGATAAAGGTGGGCGCCAGCAGATGGGAGCGCCCCCTGGTGGCACTGAGGCCCAGAAGGACTGCTGACAAAGCGGGGGGCTCAAAGTCGGAGATGGATGGGGACAGAGGGGATTGGTGGAAAAAATTAGGAAGCAGAGTCAGGCAGGAGTCTCTGCTTGGACTGCTCCTCCACCTTCACCCCAGCCTGTCTCCTGATCCCCGAGTCCACTCACCTGAGCTTGAGGTCAGTTCGAGTACCAAGGTCAGAGGCCAGCTGCTGGATGAGGGAAAGGAGCACAGGCTGGGAGAGTGGGCAGGGTGGCTGCCCAAAAACCTGCCCTGGGTCCACAGTTTCACACACATACAGCACCAGGTTCAGGTCAGCAGCTGTCAGGGCCTAGGGAGAGAAGAGTGTTTATAGTTAAGGTCAGAAGGGAATACCTGCTTGTCTGGCCGTGTGGTTCGGGTGAGGATGACCAGAGGAGGGTACTGAGGGCTCCAGAGGGGGGATGCTCAGGAGCCCAGAGACAGTACTAGAGAACTGTGTTGTTACTCTGGGGGATCAGGAAAGGTTTCCTAAGAGGAGTGGTCATGAAGCAAGGTAAGCAGAGGTAGAAATTTCGAAAGGGTCCAGGCAGAGGGGAAAGAAGGGGAAACGGCCTGAAGCCAAAGAGAATCAAGAACAGTGTACTGGGGCCAGACCACCCAGAGCCTGGCAGGTAGGGTATGGTATGTGGGCCCTGTCAGGAGACGCCTGACCCTACCTGGACCTACTGCCTGGCATACCTGCTGGAAGGCCTGATTGAGGTGGCCCTGCTGCAGCAGCTGCAGGATATGGGCTTGCTGGGCCTGGCAGTCGAGGTGGGCAGCGGGGACAGGCGTGCCAGCAGCTGAACGCATGGCCTGCATGATGCTAGATGTCACGGTGGCCTGCTGCTCCTTGAGGGCTACACTCACCTCGCCCTTAACGATGCGCTGTACCTGTGCTAAAATGGATTCCTGCAGGCTGCAAAGGGAAGTGAGGGAGATGAGGTAGACAGGAAGTCTGGTCTGGCACTTTCCAAACCCGGCACCTTGCCCAATACCCTGCCCAAACCACACACCTGCCCACAGCCACGTGCAGCTGGTGCTGCACCTCAGCCCGGACGCTGCTGGACACGGTGGCCGCCATCTGCTCAGTGGCGCCCTGCAGTGTGCTGACCAGGCCCCGCAGCTGGGCCAACACAGGCTCCCGTGCCTCCTGTTCTCGCGCCTTCCGGCTCTTCATGTGGCTCTCCAGCTGCTGCAAGTCTGGAAGGCGACCACAGAGGCCATGAGAGGGATGGTAGGGGGAGAGGGGCAGCCCCTCCCACCGTGAGGCATATGACCCCACTCACACTCTTGCGTGCCCAGTCGGAAGCTATCATTGATCTGCTGGAACATGGCCTGGCAGCTCTTCTCAAAGGCTGGCAGCACCACACTCTGGAAGGCTTCACGGTAGGCGGCCTGCATCGGCCCCTGTAACGTGTCTGCAGCTGCTCGGGCAATGGCATCTGTCAGGTTCTGGGGGTAGAGGGAGGTCTGAGTTGAAAGGCTAAGCCCAAGTTGGCATGACCAGGCCCACCAACCACCAACCTCCCGCATCTCGGGCCCTATAGCACCTTGGACTTTAGCAGCTTGGAGATACTCTCTTTCATGCTACCCTCCACGGCTGTGAGCTTGGTGGCCACTGAGCTGCTCAGCTGGCCTGTCACTGGCTCCAGGCTCCTGGAGACACCTGTGGCAGGACCAGGAGGAATAGGTGGAGCCACAAAAGGCAGCTTGGCAGACAGGAAGCCCCACTCCCACCTGGCCCACCCAGAAGTCTCCACGCCCAGCTCACACGGAGGCACCGTCTTCTTGATCTCATCCCGCAGGCTGCGCTCCAGTCGCCCAGCTACAGCCGAAGACAGTGCCTGGGACAGTTGTTGGGTCAGCTGCTCCTGCAGCTGCCCACCCCGCTGCTGCCCCTCAGCCAGTGCCCGCTCCAGCCGCCGCTCTGCACTGTAGCTAAGGAATAGGCCTGGGGCAGGTCCCACATCCCTTCCTGGGCCAAGAATGCTGCTGCCGTCCCCACCCCTATGCCATGCCGGGCCATGACCCGTAAGGATACGCTCCTGCTCATGCCGTGACTCCAGGGCGCGTTCTACGTGGCCCGTGACAGTGCTCTGCAGGCCTTCAAGCTGGCTGCAAAGACGCCGCAGCAATTCTTCCTGGCTGTGCCGCAGCTCTGCCAGCTCCCTCTGCTGTTGCCAGATCAGTGCTGGCCAGTCCTCAGGAGGTTCTGCCACCTGCCAAGAGCACCGACAGGCAGGTGATGCCTGCCCCATACATTCCCACGCACCAGACCAGGGAATGGCCCAGAGCTCTCCCCCATCCTCACAGGGAGAAGTCTCAGAAATAGAAAGGCCGTTACTTCACTTACCTGGTGCTCCATGAGCCGGGATCCCACAGCCGAATCCCTGCCATGGACAAGCAGCACCTCAGGCCATGTCACGCAGGGCAGCCGGAGGACCACCCCTCTCCCGGGCCACAGGACCCCACCCCCTACCCGTCATCTTTCTTGCCCTTTCTCTTAAGCTTGGGTGAGGCTCGAGGAGAACCCTTGGTCTTCCAGTCCTTGGCCGGTAGCCGTGGAGGGGGAACTTTGGCGCCAAAGCCTCCTGCGGCAGAGGCAAGGCTAGCCACCTCATCGTCATGGTCACTGTGAAAAGGGGAGGGAGAAAAATCAGCCCCGACCCACTTGCGGGCCCTCCCTCATGAGAGGAACAGTGTAGGGTGGTACCCACCTTTGCTCAGCACTGGCGTCCTGGCTGTCATGCTGCTGCAGCAGGTGATAAGGTGGGCGGTGGAAGGCCAGGCTCTTGTGCTTCTCCTGGAGGCCATTCCTGGGACTGAAGGAACAGGCCAACTCAACAGCGGATGACTCTACCTGAAACCCCTCCCACCAGCACACGTTCCCCTCCCAGGTTCCTCACCTCTCTGCTAGGCTGCTGCAGGTCTCACGAGTAATGTCTGGTGCCGTAGGCCAGACCTGACTGTCAGGGGCTGTGGCCTCCTGGGTCAATGCTGCCTCCAAAAGGGAAGGGGTACTATGCCGATCCCCATCCCCAGGGCCTCCATCCAGGCCAAGCTGGGAGCCAAGCTCGGGCCCCGGCCGGGGCCGTGGGGACAGCAGGTGTAGCGCTGAGGCAGCTGAGGCCATACTGTCTGGCTCAAGACCCTCAGGAGCAGAGGAGACAAAACCACGGGACAGGGCCTCAGAGGCGATCTCAGGGATGTCCTGGGACAGGGCAGTGGAAGCTGAGGAGATAACATCAGGGGAGCGGGTGCGGCTGGGAGAAGCCTGGGGTAGCCCCAAGGGCTCCACTTCCTGTAGCTCCAGGGACAGTGCAGAGGCAGCAGTAGGCACCTGAGGCGGAGCAAAGATGGGGCTTAGGTGGTGGGGTGTGGGGGTGGGGGGCACACAGAAGAGGCCTGACGTCTGCAGCGACGGGACAATGGAGAAGGGGGATTCAGGTCAAAACTCCCACAGCCCAGGAGGAGAGGAGGTGGGGATGGATACAGGCTGAGAAGCTGCCCTCCAGGGAACAGGGGAGGCTGGGATGACCTCAGTGAAAGACCTCAGGTGCTGTGGGAGGAAAGTGCCACCAAGCTTCCCACTACCACATACCTGCCACCCTGCACTTCATACACACCCACACACACACCTGCCCAGGTGCTTTGGGAGTCAGTTTGTCAGCTGGCCCTGGGAGCAGGCTGGGCAAGAGGCTGCGTGGGCTTGCTTGCAGGCCACTGCTGCTGCTCAGCGCCAGACTGCCATCCAGTTGCAGCTTGGGGCTCAAGGTCAGCTCCTCAGGCGGCCTGCTGGCAGGAAGGCGGAGGTGTAGCAGCCAGAGCTTGGCATCACCTGGCACCAGCCCCCG